TGGTTCACAGAGAAGTTGGTTTGTTTGTACAACCTAAAGTCCAGCATCACTTTAGGGCAGAACAATCTCTGCAGGATCTTTTATCCTCATACATTCCTCTGATAAGACGACTCGCTGCAACAACACGGAGAAAGCAAAGAAGAATCATCCATCTGTTGTCAGGGAACAGTTCAGTGTGGACTGACTGTATATGACTGCAGATAGAGATGTCGTTGGTTAAGCGGATGAACTGAGATTCAGGAATATGAGGATCACAGAACCACACGGGATGTGATGGTAACCATGTTCTGATGTTACCTCGTGGTGGTGGCTTTAGATTAGTCAGTCAGAACCGCCTTAAAGTCCAGGACACACTGGAGCAGTGACCCTGAATTATCATCTGACCTCATCAAAGGGAAACTTTAACTGTTTGATAGTTTGGTTTTTGACTAAACTCCCATCAGCCTCAGCTATACTTGGTGTTCAATCTGTTTAATCAGCGTTTTGGCTGGTTTCTTGGAAACTACAATATATCACACGTCTATTTGCTGCATCTTCTGTTTCTACCATAAAGTAGATAAAGGAAACAAAACCAGTAGGTGGTCTGTTCAGTTCCAGTGGTATCTGTAATGTGGTGATTCCTGAAATTCTCTGAACCTATAAACCAACAGGTGGGTTTGAAAGGCATCTTATCTTTAAAATCTCCAAAATGGCCCCATTTGTGCAGCTCTCTGGGTTCTCCGGCTTCCTCCCACAGTCCAGAAACATGTTGAGGTTAATTGGTGATTCTAAATTGGCCGTAGGTGTGAATGTGAGTGTGCTTGGTTGTCTGTCTCTAAGTATAGCCCTGTGATAGACTGGTGACCTGTCCAGGTGAACCTGCCTTCACCCTGAGTCAGCTGGGATAGACTCCAGCCCCCCATGATCCTCGTGAGGATTAAAGTGTAGAGATGATGGATGGATGGATTTCCACTCACATCACAATCGCATTGAGGATGACAGAAAGTGTGTAACCACCTGTAGGTTGCTCCTAAGTGGCCAACCAGATACTCACTGATGTCTGTTTTGATGAACGCATCAGGTTTTCATTTTTAAATATCACATCATAAGCGGTTCAGCTGCAGCATGTCCTCACTGTTTCCCTCAAAGCACCACGATGCTGAGAACCAGACTGTGGCTGTAAACTTCTTGTCAAAACACATTTTTATAGATTTGTAGGAATAGCTCAGACTCTACACTGTTTGGCGTTTGATTCTGGTGGCAGCACATCGTCTCCCACCGGGGGCTCCATCGACACGGGAAGCGTGGCCTTTCAAAATTAGCATACGATGTCGTTCGGCGACTTCTCGTGACTTTTTCAAGCTGTCAGCAGCTGTTTTGAGAATAGGCTCGACAGACAGAACTGCGTAGGCCATGTGTGTGTGTGTGTGTGTGTGCGTCACTGTGACTTAAGGCCAGTAGTCTGTTCATTACCGTGTTAAAGCCAGGAGGCTGAGTCATCAGTGCATGCTGTGTTCTATGGTTTTCGCTCTGTGTCTGTACGTCTCTCTCTTCCCTCCATCCTCTCTGCTGCTGCTGTTGTTTGGGCCGACACATTTCACGTCTGTCTATAATTTACCAACTCATCCCTCTCTTGGTTTCCCCAGTGGGGAGTAAAGCCTGCACGAGGTAAATGATTAAAGAAGATATGTGTGTGTGTGTTTTGTGTATTTATGTTCATGTCTGACAGCTGAGAGATTAGATTTCCTTTAGATTGGTTATTACTAAAACAGACCCCGAGGCTGTTCCTCTCTCTCACAGGCAGAGTTTATTAAGGGAGACAGGATTCGTCAGTGACAGTCTGTCCCGTCACCTTCCTACAGCCTCCTGAATGAGTTCTGAAAAGAGATTTGCCTCTTTTTTTTTTTTGCCTGAATGAGCTCTCACTTCATTTTGCTCAGAACATGCCTCAAAGCTACAAAAAACGTAATCTTTTTTTTGTCATTTCCAAACTGCAGCAGATCAGCTGGTGTTAAAAATGTCATCAATCGAGGAGGTAATGTGAAAGTGGAACAAATAGACGCTATACTGATGTGGTAAAGTGCTGTTAACCTGACAGCTGTGCAGTTTTATTTGCGTCTTAATGAGGACTGAAACGCAAATAAAGCTCCACATGTGTATAGAGACAGTATGTAAAGGCATCAACAGGTGATATAAGTGTGTTTCTTAGCAGCAGAGAACCGAGCGTCTCAACCGAGTGGCTGTTTCAGTGACTGCCGCAGCAAACCAAAGAAAATCACATATTCTGCTGGATGAACAGGGCGAGGGAATAATTAATTGGGAGCATTTAGTCCTCATTATGAAACGCAGACATCACTAAGAGCATTGATTAGTTGTTCTGCTTTAAATGTAAAAATCGTCACTATATCAGCAGCAGCACAGATGTTTTTGCATCTAAGAAGTTTCAGTGTTTTGGGTTGTTGCACCTAACAGTGTTCAGTGGATCGATTACACTGTAAAAATAAAACAAATAGTGTTTTTGAAATACACAAAATTGTCAATAAATGAATAAGTGAATTTATATGTCCAATGGAAAGTAACATAAAAAAACTTTCAATAACCACATTTCCATTTATATAAAAGACAAAGCTGTTAAAAATTTGCAAATTTATTGCAAATTTACAAAAAAAAAGATGAAAATGTTAATTCAAGTTCAACACTTCAAATGCATTTATAAAGATAAATCCAATTAGTGCCAATTAACAGAAAGGAAATATTAATTCTGCAATTTTACATATATTTTTGCACCAAAGGGATCAATAAAGTTCTATTCTATTCTATTCTATTCTATTCTATTCTATTCTATATTTGTTGGTTAAATGAGTGACATCTTGTTAAAATCTTTTTTCTCAATAAAAATATGAATTGTTTTCACGCGTGTAAAAATACAAACAGCCAAAAAATACGACTGATGTGTAAAACTAAGGCTATAAAATTTGTTTCTTTTTTTTTCTGTAGATGAGAAGTTCTTAAAGTGCTGCACAGAAACATCTACAGTTCAGCGACAACTCTTCGCCTGATGAAGATCATGTGACGTCACTGAAAGCTCCAGAGCCGCTACTATGAGGTGGGACTGGTTTAATCCTTCATGTTAGGAGTGAACGACTGAAACTGGAGCTCCACTGCAGCGTATGTGTTTGAGCCTTAATAACTCCTGATAGTCTTCATCAAACTACATCCTCCCTACACAGAACGTGGTTTGTGCCACATGTGACACTGCTGTGGGAAGCTGTGACTGCAAATAACGTCCCGGTGTCCATTTGATTAACTCTATGCTGAAGACAGTCCGGTCATGCACACAATTACAAACACTGGCTCTGGAGAATGTGACAGTGTGGCTGCGTGCACACAGACATCTTTACTGTGGATGTATTCTGTTGGAAAGCTTTACACCGGTTTAACTTCGAGGCACAGTCGAGAGCAAATAGTTTCTGTGAAGCTGAGATCTTCTCGTGATGCCAAACGTCATGACAAGGCATCCGTCTGGACCAGAAGAATATCTGCACGTTCTCAGGTTCTACAGGAGTTCAGGATATTCACCTGACGATAAACAATCCCTCTGATGCAATGCAGAAATTCTAAAATCAAGCACTGCACAAAAGCTTCACTGAAAACGAGCTTTTAAAGGTCATCGTCCTCCAGCTTCTGCTGCAGACTTTCTCCACCTTGCACAGTTATTTTCTTAAGTCCCTCCGCTGCCTTTCATCAAGGTCACCGGAGAAGTCTGTGCCATCCTCCCCTCGCAAGAACAACAGTCCTGCTTTCCGGCCCATTATTTCATCTGCAATGCATGAATATGTGCTCGGAGAAGAAAGCAGGCGAGGGAGGGAGGGAGAAGTTAAAGGAAGGGAGAGAAAATAAGAGAAATATGGGTTAGAAGTGGGAGGTGAGTCTGAGGTTTTTAAACTGAGACAGACAGCGGGGAAGAAAAAGCGAGTGGAAGGATGAAAGCGCCGAGAACAGGGACAAGGTAACATGACAGAGCAAAAGAGTAACAGTGATCTCGGAGATGAGAGCCTAAAGGGAGGAGAGCGAGGAGACGTGGAGGTAGAGAGAGGAGGAGGGAGTTAAATGGCAGCAGCATATGACACGGAAATTTCATCGGGGCCCCTCCAGGGCATCTTAGGAGACAAATTTTGTGTTAAGAATCAGGGAGTGTGAGCATATGGCAGCTTGTAATATTAATGGTGCACAAGTGCCCATCTCACAGCGTGCTATAATCGCCCTACAGTGATCTGCATGGCATTTAAAACGCACCACTGTTGCTCCCTTTTTTGTCTCCAGTTAGTTTTTGGGGTTGTTAAAGATTTAAAGCACTCATCACCTCGCGATAACAAAACACAGCGCAGAGGAGGAGGCGATAGGGAAAGGCTGGTTTGTCGAGTGTGTGTGTGGAAGCTTGAGTTAAATTGGCAGTGAAAGGGAACAAAAGGGAGATGGATGGACGGGGAGATCAAATGACAAAACAGCAAACGATGGGAGATGAATCAAATGCATGAAGGGAAGTGGAGGGCTGTTGAGCTCACACACCCTTCACAGGCCGCGGGGTCAAGGCCCTGGAGTTTAAGTGGCGCCTAAAGACGCCGTGTTTGGATGTCCTGGTTTATTGGTTCGACTCTGCAGATCTGACACAAGATGAGAGTTTCAGCTCGTGTTGAACCTCCACCTGTTTAAATCGGAGGCGTGTATGAAAACATAAACGCTTTTTTGTGGCGCCACAACAGCCGAGTGACAAACCCTCTTCTTCAACTTCAAAGCTCTTCAGAGGCGCTCATTGAACATGCATTGATTCTGCTGCCTGTTCTTCCTTCATCACCCTCCTGGGATTACTGAGCTTTAAGCCAGTGACTCACAGAGATGGAGTGAAAGCTTCTTATTGAGCCGTTCTGTCTCCCGCTGCACTGATTTAGGATCAGATAACCTTACAAGAATCCTAATCGCAGCAATTAAGAAGTAAGAAGCTGACGGTATATCAAACGTACCTTTCTGTGCGGGCGGAGAGGAGGTGAGGGGTCCTCTCCGTCTCCGTCCCTCTTCCTGGACAGGCCGTCCTTCTTCAGCGTGTGAACGTAGGAGATTCTCCTTTTAACGCTTTTGTCCTCTGCTTCTGCAGAAACTTGTCTCATTCTGCCCTGCTGGCCTGAGTCCTGATTAGATTGAGGAGGACGTCCCGGCGGTGTTTGGGAGCCCTGCCAACCTGTCTCCAGGTAAACATGGATGCACACACACACAGCAGTGAGCAGAATGCTCAAACGAAGCAGCAGTCCCAGGGTGAGGCGCTCTCTGCCCATGTCCATCTGCCGGCTTCCCCTCCGAGTCACCTTTAGTCCATTGTCTCAACTGGAAGATTTAGTTTTGCCTCTTCTATCCCATTCTTCCCTTTCTTCTCGTCAAAGCGTTCTTCTCTTTTCTCTTCTCCTCAGTTCCAAAGTCCACCATCAGAGCAACAAGTGGCGAGTTAATGAAACACCTCAAGTAGAAACAAACACGTGCAGCACATGTTAACCTGCAGCTCCGTGTCCATGATCCAGGTTCTGTCTAGTGTCAGTGTTTGAGGCCCAGCGAACAGACTCTGAAGTACAATGTGTGCCACCCTCTTTGAAAACTTTTGGAAACTCCCTTTCCCCCCAAACATACACGCCCCTTTAATTTGCTTTCTTTTTCTTTCTATCGGGCTCACATCACACGAGCACACACACACCCCTCTGTGGCTCTGCCCCTTCCCTGGGGTTGCCTCTCCCGCCCAGCTGATCTCGGGTTACTGAGCGACTCCAGCGATGGGCAGGGCCTGCTAGCTCGGCTGCGGGTCCATGCAGGTCTGTGTGAGCATCTGCTGGCTCTGAACACGACAGGATAATATTACTCACGGCCAAAACAGCTTCTGTAAAATGCACAGGAGTTCTAGTTTAAGGCGGTATGAAGAACATGTTTGTTGGGTTTCCGTGTCATGCTTTCTGCTGATCACTTCATTTAATCGTCAGGCTTTGAACACATGCATGCAGCTGTTTCTTTATTCCATCTCTGGATTCCTACATTCAGTTACTTCTTAAACTCTCTGACAACTTGCTTAAGCTAACGTCTGGTGCAATAATTCCTCAAAATCTCCATTCATAAGCCGCCACTGCCTTCTCACATCACTTCATTGTCATTGATTTGTCACCACAGACCTCAAAATCTGGACGGATTAATAAGCGCCGCCCCCTTCTCGTGCACCCATTTATTAAATACATCGTTGATATTTTAGAGCAGAAAAAGGACATTTATCAGAACCGCCAAAGCAGATTATTTAGTGGATATTTAGCCTGACTTTGCAGAGGATGCTCAGTCTAAGAGAACGCAGGATAATGATGTGGCTGATTTCCTCCTGCTGTTTGGAATCAATGACAAACTCGTGGTTTTTTGGATATTGGCTTGTAATAGTTCTCTACTGCCCCCTTTGGAGTAAATATAATACTGCCTCTTAAGTGATAACAGCATATAGTCATGGATTGACTAATTTGCAGCTTACTTCTTTATGATGATGTTGTATTTTCTGGTCAGTCACTGTAAACACATGCATCTGAGGAAGTGGTTGTAAATGAGAACAACTCTGATTTAATAACTCTGCTGCTGTTTGGTTTTAATGGATTGCAGCAAAATGTGAACGATCAAGAGGAAGCTGCTCCGTTAACCTGTTATGTCCACATGTGTTGGGTTATTTTACCAAAGTAGTTCATTTTTACATTTTTTTATTCTTTAATTTGTAGTATTTTATTACTATTATTTTTTTTATTTTAATTTATCTATAGTTTTCTTTATATTTTTTGTTTTCTATTTGATCAGATTAAATAGAAAAGGGAAATAATAAGTGCATATCAAACAAGAGCTCGGGTCTTAAGAGGTTCATCGATCCACCAATCGGTCATCAAATTCTCTTGATCTTATATAACATATAATATCATTCATTATTCAGTCTTTGGGAAGATTTGGATTAAAACCTGACTTTAAAAAAATGATGTTGATTTGCTGGATTTATCATCCATCATCCCTCTTTTCTCTGCACAACAACAAAAATACCTTCAACTATCCGGAAACCCAGAGCAAGATGTGCACATGTCAGTAAGACGACCTCTGCTGCCCCCCAGTGGTTAATCAAGCTCACTCCTCGCCTCCATATGGAAGGGATTAACGACATGATGTGAGTCTGAGGNTAAATCAAACTTTATTTGCCCAAAGAAGTTAACTGGGAGTCAAATTCAGGTCAGTGAGTCAGACAGTACAGCTAATGTTTAAGGCTTCATTTTGAAATTAACTGACAGCAACAATTTGCTCTTTTGTCTGTATGTGGAGACAGTTCAGTCTCCAGAGAATCTGTTTCTAAGCAACTAAACTACAACAGCAAATATGTTTCGAAGGAAACATATTTGCAGCCAGATTTATTTATTATTATTTTATTCTTATTATTTAAAATTTATCTATAATTTTCTTTATTTTTTTAAAATTAGATTTTCTGTTTGATCAGATTAAATAGCAAAGAGAAAGAATAAATGCATATTAAATAAGAGCTCGGGTCTCAAGAGGTTCATCAATCCACCAATCAGTCGTCAAATTCTCTTGATCTTATATAATATATAATATTATTCATAATTCAGTCTTTGGGAAGATTTGGATTTAAAACCTGACTTTTAAAAAAGAAGTTGATTTGCTGGATTTATCATCCATCATCCCTCCTTTCTCTGCACAACAACAAAAATGCCTTCAACTATCCGGAAACCCAGAACAAGAGGTGCACACGTCAGTAAGACGACCTCTGCTGCCCCCCAGTGGTTAATCAAGCTCACTCCTCGCCTCCATATGGAAGGGATTAACGACATGATGTGAGTCTGAGGGCCTGTTGGGATGTAGGTCAGCCGGTAATTCAGATGGAGATGGTAATGGAAGGTATGAGAGCACCGGGAAGGAATGCATGTAGTTGGACTGACTGTGAGAACAAGCAGAGATTACAGCATGAAGTGTGGTACGATGGAGGACGGATGCAGGTTCTCTGAACGGTGTGGCCGCCGGATCGTAGACTCTTTTATGCGCCTACACACACGTATAAATCCAGCTTTTTATTTTGAAAGGAAATGAGCAGACTCAGAATGTCAGACACATGTTGTGCATCAACTAAAAAAAAGAAAAACTGTGTTGCTGTTGGGGATTTTTAAAATAGAACACAGGATCTCTCTCTCTCTTTCTCTGCAGACAACGTTGCACATATTGCAATGATTTGTCAGGATTTGGCAAAAAACAAAAACAAAAACAAAACCTGCTGCCACATGGAATAAATTTGTGTCTGGTTGTTGTTTTTGTTCCTCCTCTCTTCTTCTCTCCTTTTCTCTCCTCCACCAAAACAAGATACAGAAAGCAGAGGTCATCTTCATCCACTGGCGTCTTCTTATTTAGGTCGAGGTCAGCGGAGGCCTGCAGACTGACCCGACGACAACATTGATCTCTGAAAATCTTTACTCTGACAGCTTAAATAGTTCTGTCCAATAACTCCGACTCAGCACAGGAGAGGTCAAAGAAATAATAGATCTGAGTGTCAAATCAAAAGCAAAGAACATATTCATAAAATGAGCCTCTTGGGGAAAAGGTGGATTTAGAATTTCAAAATAAAATGCCCAGGTTATCTGCCGTCTGCTAAACAAAGCAGCAGCTCCTCTGATGTCTGTATCTGAGGGTTTCACAACACGCCGAGTAAAACTAGACCGAACTGGACTAAAATAGGTTAGTCTGCTCAGTAAAATCAAGGCTGTGTGTGTGTGTGTGTGTGTGTGAGTAGGTGTGTGTGTGTGAACATACCGCGGTCCGGATAAGCTGCTGACGTCCTGCACAGTGGGAAGCAGCACAGTTGTGACACGGAGCAGGCGAAGGTTAAAGTGTGTTTGCGTTCAGCTGAGGGCCCCAAATGCCACACACACATACACACACACACACACACACACACACACACGCAAACACACACACACACACACATGCAAACACATAAACACACAAGTTCACACAGATCCAAAAAAAAAAAGGTATGTATGTACACACTGGAAAAAATTCACTTTGCCGACTGTCTGTGAGCTGATAACGAATGAGAAACGTTTGAAAAGCACAAACAAGTCACAGGTCGGTGAAGAAAAGCACAACTGATTTAAATCCACTAAACAATATTTCTGCATCTTCAACAAATACCATTTGTTTTGTTTATCCACTGACCATGTGGCAAAAAACTTGTCAAAAAGAGATTAAAGTTGGAAAACTTTAACTAAAACTGCACAGTGGAGCGGTGGTTAGCCCTGTTGCCTCACAGCTAGAAGGTCGGTGGTTGGCATCCCGGTGAGGACACCCGGGATCTTTCTGCGTGGAGTCTCCATGTTCTCCCCGTGCAGCGTGGGTTCTCTCCGGGTTCTCCGGCTTCCTCCCACAGTCCAGAAACATGCTGAGGTTAATTGGTGATTCTAAATTGTCTGTAGGTGTGAATGTGAGTGTGCTTGGTTGTCTGTCTCTAAGTGTAGCCCTGTGATAGACTGGTTACCTGTCCAGGTGAACCTGCCTTCACCCTGAGTCAGCTGGGATAGACTCCAGCCCCCCATGACCCTGGTGAGGATTAAGCAGTGTAGAGATGATGGATGGATGGTTAGTGTTGGTAGTGCACACTGGGTTGACATAACCTATGATTAATAGATTATATCATATGAGACATATGCTTATAATTACCAAAAACACAATTACACACGTTGAAATAAGTTGGACCAACTTGACTGATTTGCTTCAGCTGGTAACACACGATTGAACCGAGTTTATCCTAATTAAGAAAACAAGTCAAGGGGTGTCGCTATAGCTCACCTGGTTGAGCTGGCGTCCTATGTGTAGGGCTACAGTCCCAATGTGGAGGTCATGAGTTCGAATCCTGCTCATGGCCCTTTCCCACATGTCCTCCCACCATTCTTCTCCCCTACTTTCCTGTCTCTCTCTCTGACTACACTATCCAACAAAGGCCAAAAAAATAACTTAAAAAAGAAAAAAAGTCAGATCGATGCCACTGTTTGAAGTTAGATCAACTTTAATCCTCTCAAATGAGCAGCTTGTGTTGCTTCATTTTAGGGAAACTCAACTTAAAGTGTCCTAACTTTCACCTTTAGTACATGATTCATCGTTCATTCCTTCCTACATCCTGCTGGTTGAACTGCAGCAGAAGAAGCATCCAGACCGTAAACCTCATTTTCACGCCGTGGCTGTGAGTAAACCACCAGTTCACAGAGACCCAGCGTCATGTCAAGCTGACAGAATCCACAAAAGCAGACCGCCGTCACCGAGGCGGAGAGATAAACAAGAAAACTTTCACACATGTTCTTACAGTGCAGGTTAGCTTCCACACCACTGATTTACAGCAGCAGCATCTGTTCCTGCTTTAATGCTATAAAGGAAATACACTTGGTGTGAAATGCAACCCTGTGGTGTGAGACGTAACACGCAGCAGGAGACCAGAGGAGACTCGTGGTTCTCCTGTTAAACCAACCAGACTGATGCTAA